TATGAGTACGTATATGCAAAATAAAATATAAAATAAATTTTTTTCTAACATTGTCACGAAAATTTTCCACAATTTTTCAATTTCGAAATAGAAAAATTTGATTTTTTTCTCCACCCTCGTATACACACATTTCAATCACTTTGTCGTCTGTATTGGTTTTCCTGCCACAACACCATAAACCAACGACTTTCCAACTAAAATTCTTCCTCATCACTCTTCCGCTGCTGTTTGTTTTAATTGATGTCCTCTCACCAAAGTCATTTACTTAATCCCTCATTGCATTTTAGTTTGGATTTTTGCCTGTCGATTGGTTGCTTCCATGAAGCATCAACAAGTCAGTACTTTCAGTGCTTGTATTCCTCGCCTAAGCTTCGGCTGCGCTTGCCTGGTTTGAGTGCAAAAAGTATTTCAATTATTTAAATAAGAAAATATTTGTTCTCCGGTTTATTTTGCTTGTTTGTTGTTGATTTACTATGTACATTCCGTGCTGCTCAACTGCAGGCCAGCAGTCACCTAATGGCATACCAAAGTGACGCGTCTATTAACCAAAGCTACTGACAGTACATATAATTTTAATTATTTTTCAGCCAGTGATAAAAATTTAACTTACGCCTTTGTAGCAAATTGTGCAACCATAGGGCAGAAGCTATGGGAGCACAAACACATTACATATACATTTTCAATGCACTATCTAAGCCAAATTGGTTTAATACTTAATACTCTACTCTAATTGACGTCACAGTGCATTCGGGAATTAGTTGAGATGCTTTCCGAATTTGAGCACTAAATTCTTTAGACATTTAAGTAATTCTTTTCTACATAGTTTTTTAGTGAAGTGATGGCTCATGGTCTTTTTGGCAGATTTTCTGAGTGACGTGCTAATCTAATAACACTTTAATGGATTTGGTATGAATACAGAGCAGCGGATAGTAGAGTAAGTTCTTTTGCAAAACGATAAATGTAATATTTTTTATCATAGCTACATACATGTAGTATGGTTTGCTCCACGTGCATTTGGCCGAGTCCGACTAACACCAACTGAAAATAGTTAGAAACCTAGTTTTGCTCTTTTCATTGTCTTTTCATTGCAGGTAACCAACGGGTACCGCGTTGAATACTTAGGACTTAAGCGGTTGGGTCCATTCGTACTTCGTGACCGAGTCAGCTGTGCCGCTGCACTTTAACTCGCTGCACTATGCCCATGTCAACAGCAATTATCGTTGTATATCGTTGTAAGCTCACACTGTTCATCGCTTTATTGCTAAGTATTCGTCAGTATATAGTCAGACGGTGGGACATCGCTGCCGGCATCATCGGCTGGAGGCTCGGGTTCATCTTTCCTCTTCGATTCCCTATATTGGCCCACCAAGCTCACGTATGACCCTTTAGGCACATCCTATTCTCTCTGCAGCTTCGTGCAATTTCTCTTCATACCACCTATTCTTTCGGGCTCGCTGAAATCTCACTACTTCTACGGCGGCATGTAATGAGCGGGAGAGGTCGTACCGCTGCTCGCGTATGTCGGTTTGTTGAAGAGTACTTTCAGATAGTGAGTCTGAAAATCTAGTGCAGGCCTTCCCAAAGTGGGTGACGCGGCACCCCAGGGTATGCCAGGGTGCCGCTAGGGGCTAGAGTATACTAGTGGTGTGGGCAAATTCTTTTGACTTTCCATACACAACGCAAGTGGTTTGATCAAACTTCAACATGGCGGCCAAGAAATCAAAAAAATGTTGATTTTTATTAAAATTACCTTCAGCGGCTCGCCAAGCCCCATACACAACACAAATAGCTTGCAGCAAAGAGATATTTCGCTCTTAACCGTAGTTCCCCAGTACGTCTTGTCAACGTAAAATTTAATCAGAAAATTTTCAGAAAAATTGCCGAAAACGTACCCTTTTCACAACCACTCTCGGTATTTTGTAGACCCAATCCGCGTTTCATCCACTTTTCATCCCGTTTTCGGATTAATTTTCGAATTTTTTGCTGGCTGGGCTGTTCTCGTAACAAGTCCAGCAGCTTCGCGTACGTGTATATATTATTTATTCCTTGGAACTTCACAATCACACTGTCAAAGAGCGAATCGACGCAATTTTAGAGGCAGTCTTCTCGTGTTAGTGAGGTACCCATTTGTAATGCAAATCGAAGAAGAACGAAGTACTTCAGACTTACGCCACTAGCGACGAAATTTTTAAAGCTATCGACAAATTTGTACAGAACGATGGTTTGAAATGGGGTAAGTGTGCGGATATTTGCGGTGGTTGGAAAAACGAAACGGAGCAATGTTTAAGATGAGGCAAGAGGCAGAAAATGCCACGAGAAGTCACTGTATGATCCCTCGGTATTCCCTGGCGACTAGGAAGCGGCATCTTCCCTAGATTTAAAATCCGTATTGGATGACGCTGCGAAGATAACAGAGGCCTGCGAAATTGAAATACATCTGTAGTTTTTTCTAGCACGTCGAGATTTTTTTTTACTGGTGACATGTTTATTTTAGAATTTCTAGCAATTTGCATGAAAACCCCATAAATAAACAAAGTAATCGGAAAAACGTATGTAACTTCGAAGTTAACGCTAAGAAAATTGATAACATCCGGTTTCACTAGCAATTTCCATATAAAATTCAAAAAATTTAAATCATTTATCACTTAAATTGCTTTCGTGAAATTGGCTGTAAAAATTATTTTCTTAACGTTAACGGGCATTACCAGCGTTAACTTGGAAGGTTTAGAAAAACCATTATCGAATAATTTCCCAAAATGATGGCTTCAGCTGGATAACAAACCCGTTTTCATGTGACCCGAAAAGTAAACCTACTGAGATGACCAATTAAGCCTTTGAAAACCTTCTGGACATCAGTGAAGACAACACTTTGATTAATAAATATCACAAAGGGAGATCGAACATCGAAAGTGAAATTAAGAGCTATGCAACCGTGTCGAAATTTTCTTTGAGAATCGAGTTTTCTGTCGAACATAATTTTGCTTTCGATGGTGTAGCGAAGAGTTAGAAAATTGTTAAAAATGTATAATTTTGCATTTGTTTTTTTTTTTACTTTAAGGCGTCTAGACACTAATTTAATTTCCAGCTCCAAAGGCTGGTTTTACTTGTGAAAGAAAACCCCAATACTCAGTTGGCACGATCTCTGAGAACAAAATCGTAAGCTGTTTATAGGTTCAAAATATTGAAAACTAAAATATTTTAAATAGATTTGGCTCACAAACTCACCTTTAGATAGTCGGAAGTTTTTAATAAATCTGTAGTCAAAATTTCTTAAATATATTTTATGTTAAAAGACTACACTTAAACCCTCTTAAACATTTTCTACTCCTGGCCAGTTTACCAAGCTCTCAACCTATGACGAATCGTTGAACCAGAACTCCGTTGTACTCATTTTTACCACGTTTTTATAAACTCGCTCTCCTTTTTATTTCATTTTAATTTGCACAAGTTTACATACTTATGTATAAGCACACTATTTAGTTTGCTCGATTTGTAAACAAAACTTCTCAGCGGTGAAAAATATACTATTGTAAACAACCTAACCGAGCGAAATTTACATAAGCGCTATTCTTCATCGAATGAGCGTCATAATACCAAATGAAAATTCGCTCGATCAGCACTTTCGACCACAGTCGTATGCAACTCATAATAGGGGCCTTACTTTTACATTTCTAAGTTAGACTGCATTTAATACAAATGCTTACATAAACAAGTAATTTTTAAGCAAAAAAAAAAAAAAAACAAAACCGATTTCAATTCCCATCTAAGAATTTAAGATTATCGTTAATCTATTCATGATTCAGTGATCGGATTTAAACCAAATTAGACCACTTGTCAGGTAACACGGTAATCGGTTAACTTAGCGGTAGCATACATAGAAAAAAATAATAAAATATTCCGACGAATTGATAACCTATCCGTTTTGTGAAGTCGGTTAAAAAGAAATACACCAGCAAGCTCTCAGCGTCAAATGATTTAAGGGTCAAAGCTGCCAATAAACTTAAAGGAAATAATGAAATCATCAAAACAATTTCAGTCCTCACATTAAAGCTAAAGGAGCATAAAGTTTGCATTGTGTTTTTGTTTTTTTGATTTCGTTGGCATTTGAAGAGTAGGGGTGCCGCGAACTTTTTTTAGCTCAGCAAGGGTGCCGAGGTGAAAAAAAGTTTGGGAACCCCTGGTATAGTGCACAGTGGCACGTGCATTTAGTTATTATCAACAAAATAGTATGTAGTAGTTGTTTGTGGTAGTGCCCACCTCTGATCAAAAGCAATTGTTATTAGAGAAAGTTTTTACGCAGCATATTTCAGTAGAAGTTTGTATGGACATTTTGTAAATGCATTTTACCTTAATTGATCAGTACTTCTACATTTACTATTCCATTTAGATAATCAGCGACTTATTACTTGTATTTGTAGTTTGACATGCTTACCGAAAGAAACTTTTTTTTTATTTTGTTAAAAATTATTCAAAATTGGCAATATACATAAATTACTAGCTCTTAAACTACTAATCCGTTTTTAAAGATTTGGTTTAGTTTAAGCTTTACTAGTGTGAGTAGAAATTTAAAATTGGCCAATTGTGTTCAAATAAAAATTGCAATTTAATGAGTGCATTTTTTTTCAGACAGCAAAAACTCTAAATTTGTCTAATTATAACTCAAAAATTATTTTACTTTCTTATTTTTTGATTTCATATTCGGTTTCGGCGGAATAGTTTACATTAAAATTCACATAAAAATCTGGTAGGTCCGCAAATTTTTTATTACTGAAAACTTTTGTAATTAGTTCCCTTGAGTAACATCAAAACTTTTTTAATGAGTTTCGCTTCATTTTCCAAGGTAAACTATAAACAATTAAGTTTTTATACAAATCATATACTCATATATGGATTAGTGGTGCATCAATTTCCTTTATATACTATGTATATTTATTATATATAACACATGCATATATTTTCATATATTATCTAACTATTCAAATATTCAAACCTACTTTCAGTTCCGCCCATGATTTGGATACAAAATCAATTAGTCGGCGCTGCTATTGGCCAGAACATTACGCTCGAATGTCAATCGGAAGCATATCCGAAATCCATCAACTATTGGATGAAGAATGACACAATCATTGTGCCTGGTAAGCAATAATTTTTATTACATACATATGTGTGGATGTAGCTATGTGCCCAGCTAGCACATTTGCCAGACAAATTCTGATTTCAGTTAAGTCGGAAAAATATCTGAATAAAAAGTTGACTATTTGGACAAAATTTAAACCGAACTGTTTAAATTCTAAACCCAACATATGTGCTCTCTTTTTTCAACTTGGAAGGTTTGTTTTTGAAACTGTTTAGAACTAAAACCGAAATTTTTAACCGTGTAGCACGACCTCTAAAGTTATTTATTGTGCGTGGCTCTCCGCCTTAAATGGGATGGCTTTTAACCTTCCTATACCCGCGCGTTGGTCTGTGAGACCGAGAAAATGATTTTACGTAAATTTTTGTTTTTCCAGAAACTCTACAAAGCTGAATTTACTGCTAGCTTCCGCTTTTCTTGCAAGCTCTATATTAGTGTTGATTTGGCGTTTGCACTAGACAGGCGTGTTGGTGAATTTTATAAAAATTGGTCTGTGGGACCGACGCGGGTATATGTGTAATTTTTTGTGACTACATGCCGACAGTATTTTTGTTTGGAACATGCTATTATGGTGTGTCCTGAGTGTTTCCGTAAGGATAATGAATAAGATAGTTTGACGTTTTTATAGCAAATAAATATTTTTTAAGCTAGAAAAGGCATTTTTTGTTTTTTTTTTTTGAAGAGGTAAAAGCGTAAGTTTTCTTTTTAAGGCAGATTTTTACATGAATTGCGATATGCCATGATTTTTTATTTCAAGACTAAAAACTAATATAATTTATAATTTATGTATTGTCCAAGAAGTGTTTCTAAGTTATTATAACTTATTTTTATTTATGTGAATAAAAAAATATGTTATTGTTTTGTTTTTGTAGTACTTAAGAAAAAATTATCGATTTTGATGGCTTTTTTTGTTAATCACTTAAAATCAATAAAATAAGTGAATACAAATTTAATGCGTAGTTTTATTTTTTATTACATCTACGGGATTGAAAAATAATAATTTGTTTTTAGTTTTGTGTGAAAAAACTAATATTTTATGTAGTTTGAACTTTCGGTCTGTGAGACCGTGCGCGGGTATATGTGTTACAAAAATTAACGCGGGTATAGGAAGGTTAATGTAGCCTGGCACTTGCAAGGGCGCCTTGTTCCAAATTTCAAATGGATTTAGTGAGCTAGTCTGCGCCCAGCGAGAGCGTCACATTCATAGAGAATGTGTTCTGGAGTTTCTTCGTCCAGATCACAAAAGCGGAAGACGTTTCTTTCTGAGAGATTAATTTTATTGTGGTGACAGTTAAGGGAGCAGAGTTCCGCGTAGTAGCCAGAGAGAGTTTTGAGGTCCTCTCTACTTAAATTGAGTCGTATCTTTATTCTCTGAATAATATTATTTTATTTCTTTAGAAATAAAATTTAAGTAGGAAATTTGGCTACGCTTTTATTTTAATTTTCATTAAGTTAAGTACTCCTTAAAGTTTTTACTAAATGCAAAAACCATTTTTACTCCCCTAAGCCAACCCAAAGCCACTCAACACAAAGCACTCAGCACGAACGCTTCTACGAGTGACCATCCGGCTTACACACAAACATGTATAGAGCTTTTGAAACAGAAAGTGCAACGGACGTTTAATTAACATTTTGTCAGCCATTTTTAACCGCATTCAGGAATACGAAGAAGAAAAAAACATACACCCACACACACATATGTACAGAAAGCTAGTAAATATACGGACAAATAGTAGTTGCAATGAAAATCTATACAGAGTTGGAGAAAAGTCACAAAAAGCGACACGCACAGAAAACGAATGAGAAATGTATGTAGTACGTGCAACGAGGAAAGAAGAAGCATAGTTGAAAGCTTGAAAGATATGAAGTACTATATAGAGTGGGGAAAAGGGGGCGTAGAGGCAAAAGAGTAGTACACAACAAAAAGTGGAGACAGTCAATCAGTGTGCGCTGCAATTGTTTAAAAGGATCCACTCAAATCGTAAAAGCATCAGCGCTGACTGACGATTGCCGAGATGATTCAGCTACAAAAAAAAAAACTATAGTCAAAATAAAAATAAATGAATGCTAAAAACTGAAAACTTACAAGAGCGTTGGTAAATAAAGAAAATGGCAAAAACCAATAGTGGTCGAATGAAGAAGGCAGCACAAAAAGGTTAAATGGAAGTAGTTTGGTTTTTGCACTCACAAAGTGACATCCTCAGAGTGAAAGGGATATAAAATGGAATGGTCAAATGAAGTGTATGATATGTATGTTTGTATGTACATAAATATGTATGTACATATGTATATAGGTATACATATAGAATACAATTTTTAAGGGGCGCAAAAATAAAATTGGTAGTACTGTCTAAGACAAAATTGAAAAATTATTAGCATAGTAATTTTATTTATTTAAGAAAACGCAAACAGAGCAAGTTTAAGAAGCGATATTTTTAAAAGATCTTGCTTAAGATTTAGAAAGTTTATACTAAAGTTTATGTACGCAGGTATGAAAAAACTCGTAACTTCTACAGTTTTGGTGTTTCCATTCTCAAATTTTTACAGCGTACTCCATAAAGCTTGACAAATGTTCAGGTTGAAAAAATGATAAAAATCAAACATGATGAAGTTAATAAAAAAAATAAGAAATAAAAAATGCGATTTTTCAATGCATACATTTTGATACCTTAACTGATTTTTTCCGACAAATAGTTTATTAACTGCAAATTAAAATAATTATATTTTTAAAAAAGAAAAATAAAATAAGTTCCTAAAAATTACATAAATGAAAAAAATATATAAAAAAATATATATTTAAAACAAGTCATATACAAATTTAATAGTACCGTTAATTTTTTCATGATCCAAATATTGGATCTAAGCCTAACTAGTATTGGACCACCTCTGAGGTACCATAATAATATTTCTCAGTCCCACAGAATTTGTTTTGATAACTTTTGATTCTGAAATTTTGGCAAAGCACGGAAAGCGGGTGTAATTTTAGCCCGATTTGAGTGATTTTGGGAGGAGTTGCTTCAGTAGTTACTGATTTATCGCAGTTTTCGTGTTTCTGTAAATTACCGTTATATGGACGAATTGATAACCTCCCCCTTGTTTGAAGTCCGTATTTTTTGGTGATATATCTTTAGAAGTACTATACATCTCCCCGGATGCGCCCCTGTGCCAGCCTATCATTTTTATTTACTTTACCACATTCCATTTTGGTTACTCTCACTCTGACGAATTTGAAGTCGCATGCAAATAGAACTGACAAAAATTCAAGAACTTAATGCATTTTTGTGGTAAAGTGACATAAACGCACGCATGGAAAGTGAATATGGAAATACGCCTGCATACACATGCCCTTTTGCAACAATGTTTATATACATACATACATATAAATGTATATATAGGGGGTGTCGGTATATTAATGTACAAGTCGAAATATCTCTAAAATTCGCAAGCATATCTGTTTCTCTTTATCAACAATATTTACGTACACCAGAAATTTGCAATGGATTGGATAACATCTGATTTAAGCAAAAATGTTTTAAAAAATGAAATACTTATTTATGTAGGTTCAGAAATTATGTTATTTTGTTACACAGTCCAACGAAAGATCAATATACTCAAAAACTAAAATCGCTTTGAAACGACTTAATTACACTGATTTTTAATCCAACAATCGAATTTGTTTGGCCATCTCTTTTGCAAATACATTCAGCCACAGTTCACACACTCATTAAAAATCAGTACATTTAAAAAGCTATAGAAAAGTAACTCGTACACTAAGAAAAAAGTGGCGTGTTTTTTTTAAGAAGCGTAATTTAAGGTTTTCCCATGTTAGCGATTCGATATTTTTGAACAGAAAAATTATTTTTCAAACAAACTTTTGTTGGATCGATCACATAGTGGTGTTGTCTAGAAATTGTCATCAAAAATCAGTTCAGCCCAATAATAAAATTTCAAAAAATGCCACTCTGTAGTTTGTGAAATGTTTGTTCGACCGATCACAGGATGGTACTGTCTAAAAATTCTTGTAGAGAATGAGTTCAGCCCAGTAAAATATTTCCAAATAAAGCCACTCTGTAAATAGCAAAAACAAATTTGAACAAATGTGCAAGTCGCGTAATTTGGCTTGATTCAAGGCGAATATTTAAAAGCACACTTCCATGTTGTGCCTGTAGCTGAGTGCGCAAAGATGCTAGCTACAATTGGTTGCAGCCAAGGGTGTCCAGCTTCAAGTGTCATTGGGCGGAATATATAATTTAAATTTTTTTGTTCGTGTTTGTTTTTTTTTTTTAATTATGAAAAAATATATGTGAAGTGCACAACGAAATCGTGTTGAAGCGAAAAAGTCTCCAAAAATAAATATGTTTAAAGTAAACAAAAGCTTTTTTGGCATAAAATCATATGTGCTTTTGTTTAAAACTAAGACGATATGGTTTATTTTTTTTTTCTCAGTGTAGGAAAAAATTAACTCGACTTTGGGACTGGTGAACAAAAAAAAACAAAAACATTTTTTATACAGCGTAATTACTGCTTCAAGTAAATACACATTTTCTCAAAGCCTCAAGTAAACTAAAACAAAAAAAACAAGTTTTCTACTACAGAATATTTATATCGGAAATTTTCATTTTATTAACCCTGCTTTGATAACCTACCTCTACGAGACGTATGCTCTTTAAACTTTGCGCTCTCTATTGCGCGAAATGAAGATGGTATTTCCACTTAAAATCAAAGATATTTCTAAATGAAATGCATTTAAATAATAAGTAAATATTAAAAGCCTCCATATCTTTGAAAAAAATTGTCATACGAATTTTATTATCATAAAATCAAGGCAAGCAAACTATGATATGTCTAACAGACGTACAGCAACTCTAGGTAAGATTATCAAATCAGGGTTTAAATCTCGTTTAATGTTCTCTTAAAATTTTACTCTAGACGTTTATCTACCAGATAGACCTTGAAAAATAAACACAACAGCTACTCTACGCACTGCAATCAAACTGATGT